TTACCTTGTTTCCTTGCACATGTAGGTAAATTGGAGCATGATGCACGTTGAGGTAGCTTGGTGAATGATTTGGACATCATATGCAGCTCACAAATAGCTTACAAAGTACAAGGCATCTCATGGAACACTAAGGGAAGCTCGATTCAGCTGGAGGAGCTTAAGGCTAGCTAAACTTAGCTAGTTGGACTATTTGGAGCTGATTTGCCAAAAGTGATGTCAAAGGTAGCTGAACATAATGTTGAGGAGCTCACAAGGACTTAGCTAGGAAGCTTGTTCCCAAACAACAAATGTTTTCTAGCTAGCTCCACAACTCAAGCTAGCTTGAAGGAGATACATGCACGCCCAAGAGAGAGAGAGCATGACCAGCCATCATTCCATACACAAAGTTGCACCACAAGGCTTCCTAGAACACCCATGTGCCTTGTATATAACCAGCCCCCATGTGCCTTGCATGTGGATCATTTAGGCGCCAAGATGAAGAGTTCTCTCCCTATTCGGCCAAGCCATGTGTTTTGCATGTGATCAGACCCATGTGCCTTGCATATGGTTCATTTAGGCACCAAGATGAATGGCCATCTATCCATTCGGCCAAACATCATTACTCCTCTAATTTGGCGCCAACTTGAAGGGTTTCAAGTGCTATTCGGCCATGAGACATACCCCTACACTTCATCCAAACCAGAACCTATTTATTCATGTTATTTATGAATTAAATTATGTCATTTTAGGAAGGCACACGGCTGGCCGAATCTCCTTGTAATTATTCGGCCATGTCTCTCCATTTCCTATAAATAGGAAATCATTCATCATTTGTAATCAGACCTTTTGTTTAATTAAAGTGAGATTATTCTCTTCCTTAAGTCCTGGTGACTTTTATCGACTTATCAAGTATAATTTATACTTGTGGCATCAACCCTTTTCTTTTCATCTTGATACTTTTGGTTCATAGTTCTTTACAACTAGTGGGTCAAAGTACTTCATACCACCCCTTAAAGAAGCAATATAAAGTCTGGGTCTTTGCTCTATATAGCATTGGTTCTTCTTTGAATCTTCTTTAAGATACTATCCTCACAACCATCCCTTTGTTTCATAAACCATAACCATAGCCATATCAACCATCTTCCGCTTCCATCTCTCAATTAAACAGCCCACCTAATCACCCATACGTTTACCACCCTTAACCATTCTATTTTGAGCCATTCACATTGCAGGTAGTTTTGCTTCCTTCCTAGATCCATAATCAATTTGTTAAGGCATCAGAAGAGCCTTACATCAAAGTAGATTCATTGTTGACGTGTTAGGATTGGATGATATTTGTAGTGAAGAAATTGTTGGTTGAGACCTGAGAGACTTGATAGGTTTTGTTTGAGGAAAATCTAGTGGTGCTAGTGTTTTTTAAACTTAAATCGACTGGAAGGTGTGACACTAGTTGTAAAGTGGACTGATAACCCCATAAAAAGGTTGTATTTTTGTGTCTTTTTACTTAAGTTATTGTTTGTTCTAGAGCCCAAGTCATAGCATTCAAATTGTATTTAAGTCATATAGTTGCATTTTGTTGTAAAGTCTTGTAGCGACATAAATTTATTGAAAACTGGTGTTACTGAGGTAAAGGTATTGTTTCTATGGTATTGTGCAGGCAATGGAAGTTTTAGAAGAAAATGTGGTTGTTGAGACAAGCCAGAGAAATTATTGTTGTAGCATTTTGGAGATATAAAACTGAAAGACTTAGCGCAACAAAAGATGGCTAGCAGACCTGGAGCATAAAAGAAAAAATAGCATAATTATCTTTACTTAGTTGTCTAGCCACACGTGACTCACCACCCCTACTATAAATTTTGGGACCGCCTGCCACAATAACTGCCCCCCTTCATGTGAGAATGATGCCACCTAGGGTAAAAAGGGAATCTTGGGGACAAAACCCTAGAAATATTCCCTCTAGAAATACCTAAGGAGTCTTACATTTTAGGGAGACTTTTAGAAAGTTTTAAAAGGTGACCTAGGAAAGTCGGCTGCTCATTTCTATGTTATTCTTCATTTTCATCCTCTTTTTGTGGTGTCCTCCATAGCTGAGCTTCAAGGGAGGTAGTAACTAGACCTCGAGAGAGGCTAGCTTACTCAAGTGATGCATGGTGGTTGAGCTAAGTCACGTAAGTATTTCATTTTGGGAGTCTTCTTCTCATTGTGCTTTATTTTGCTATCTTATTTGGTCTTGTACTAAACTTGCATATTCGTGGATGAACTTAGTCACACCATGAACTTACTTATTTATTGTTGGATTTGTGTTGGATGATTTTATTTTGTGTTAATGCATGAATGGATGTTTTCATGTTTTAAATGTTGTTTTGCTCACGGTTTTTCACTTTATGCATTGTAGCACTGTAAGAGCTTTTGAGATATTTCTGTTTTATGTAGAGTAATATGCTTATTCTTGTAATTGCTTTTGAGAGAATGCCATTTTCTAAGTATAGATACCTCGTATAGAGATAGATAGATTACATCTATATGAGCAAGAGAGCCAAACAGATATGGGGAGGTTCTAACTTACCACAGAGATAAGGAGAGGGTTTCATTCGACTAAAAAGGATAGGACTTAGTCGATAGGCTAGTGTTGTAGTTTATGCTAATAGGTATTGTTGTAGCATTAGTTTTATCAGGTTCCTTGCTTGAGAGAGTTTAGGAGTATTTTTAGCAAATCCTGTCGGGTAACATACTCATAGAAAAATAGATCATCCTTAGCATAGTATATTATTTCCATAGAAAATCCATACCATTTACCTCTATAGAAGCTTGATTGTGTGAGGTTGTCAAGTCTAATCTCATTTTCCAAGGTTCAATTCATTTTACTAGTTTAGCATACATTTGCACTTTGCTTAAACTCTTGCCTCAACACACTTTTACATTTCCAGCAACTTTCACCATAGTCACTCTACTCCAATTCACTTCAATCTTGCCACAGCATTCAATCACCATTTATATATACCTTTTACCACAACTCTATTTTCATTTTTTTAGATTTAGTTAGTTTTTTAAATTTAGTTTGTGACAGTTTTTGTTTACTATAGTTGGCTTTTAAAATACCTCTAATCTATGTGGAGAAGATACTTACTCATCACTGTATTACTTGTATCGATTGTGTATATTTGCATAGATTTACGTTCCACGACACTATATATTTACACATGATTAAGTTTTTGGCGACGTTGCTGGGGATTGGCAACTGGTTAATCTTTAAAAGTTAGTTATAACAAGAGTGTTTTTAAGTTTTTGTTTTCAATTTTACTTGTAAGTTTTCTTTATTTCTTTTTAAGGTTTTGTTGTTGCATAACCACTTTATCCTCTAGATCCAAATATCAAGCATTTATTCCGTCAAAGAATACATATTCAATGTGCTAATCAAGTCATGAACAATCCACCAAACCAAGGTGTTCAACTAGTTTATGATCTTGCATATCCAAAAGCTGCATCATTTCTGAATGAAGGACTTGTACTGAGACCAAGAACTATTCGAGATCTCCTAGCACATGTTCTAGAAGATCTCAAGCCATAGATCATAGCACCCGAGATTCAGGCAGCCCACTTTGAGCTTAAACCCATGATTTTCAACATGTTTAACTCGATCGGTCAATTTGGTGGCATGCCTAGAGAATATGCGAGGCAACACATCTGTTCCTTCTTGGAAGTTTACGACTCATTCAGGCAGAAAGGAGTGCATGAAGATGTGCTAAAGCTAAAGTTGTTCCCCTATTATTTGCATTACTGAGCAAGAGCTTGGCATAGTGGCGACATAACAAGTTTTCGTCAAGTTGATGACGAATCGATGTATAAGTATTGGGATCGTTATCAAAGTTTGATTCACAAATGCATCAACCATAGATTCCACAATTGGAACCAAGTTGTGATGTTTTATATTGGAGTCAATGCACGCACCCGTATGATGTTAGGTACTTTGCTTGACAAATAACCCGAAGAGGCCTTTGACATACTGGACATGATAGCCAACAATGAATATCAATTTCCCTATTCAAGGCTTGGAACTGGAAGGAAGGCACCTGGGACATTCGAGTTAGATGCTAAGGATTCAATGTCTACACAACTTTCTGCTATAACAAATATATTGAAAAATCTATAGCGTTCCAACGAGGTGAAGGAAGTAAAGAAGGCTAACTTCGCATGCATCTTATATCTTGGCAATCACTATGAGAGTGAATGCCCATATAATCAAGAATCGATCAACTACTTGGAGAAGTTTAATTGAAAAATCAACAATGTCTATTCTAATACCTATAATCCAGGATGGCGTCAGTATCCTAACTTCTCATGGGTAATCAAGGGGTAAACAACAACACTGGAGGAAACATGAACATGCCACAACATAATATTTCTGAACCTTTAGGATTTTAGCATTAACAGATGCATGATAGAATGATAATAAGGGTTTGACTTCTACTTCAAATTTTAACTCTCTTGAAGCTATTATGCAAGAGTTTATGGGTTCAACAAAGGCTTTATTGCATAAGCACTCGTCAATAATTAAAAGCCATGACACATTTTTGCATAATCAACCAGCCTTGTTGCAAAGCCACCACTCATCACCCACAAGGAAGTGTCCCTAGTTATACTGAGTTCACTAATCCTCATAGAAATGAGTAATGCAGTGCGCTTACGCTGAGGAGTGGTATCCAACTTAATAAAGGAAATAAATTTGGGGGGAAGAAGTAAGAAAATTCTCGCCCTAGCATTGTGCAACTAAACCCTGAAGTGAAAGAAGAATCACTTGTGGAGAAGGACAATGATGAAGGTTCTACGAGTAAACTTACTTATGGAGGACAAACAAATGTTACAAAAAATTGGTTCCCCCACATGCAGTAGAAGAATTCAGACCCCCACCACCCTTCCCTCAAAGACTGAATAAGCAAAATCATGACATCCAATTTAAGAAGTTCGTTGACATCCTTGACCAACTATATATCAATGTATCGTTGCTGGAGGTCATTTATCATATGCCTACTTATGCCATGTTTCTCAAAGACATTGTCACAAAGAAGAGAAATGTGGAAAGGTTTGAAACTATCTTCACAGCGAAGAAATATTGTTCTGTGATCAATAAACTTCTGCCAAAGCAAAATGATCCTGGAATATTTTCTATTCCTTGTTCTATCCATGATAAATATATAGGGAGAGTCCTATATGACCTTGGGTCAAGTATAAATTTGATGCCCAAGTCTATATTGTTAAATCTTGGAAAGGGTAATGCTCGACCTACCACCATGATCCTACAACTAGCTGACCGATCTCACGTTCGTCCCGAGGGAAGAATTGAAGATGTCATAGTGAATGTTGACAATTTTGTATTTCCTGCTGATTTTCTTATTCTCGACTATGAGGTCGAAGACAATGCACCCATCATTCTGGGTGACCTTTTCTAGCTACTGGTTGCATTCTCATAGATTGCGAGAAAGGAGAATTTACAATGCGAATAGTCTATCAGAGTGTCACAATCAACATCTTCAACACACTAAAGTATGTAGATGACTCGGAAGAATGCCAATGTGTGTTAGACATGGACTCAATAATAGAGGACGAGGCTGTAATGTCAATAGTTCATGGGTCATCTTGGTGTAATGTGTACCAAAGAAAGGAGGCGCGACCATGGTGAGCAACGAGGAGAATGAGCTATTACTGATGAGGACTGTCACATGTTAGAGGATTTGTATGGACTACTGAAAGCTCAACAAAGCGACAAAGAAGGACCATTTCCCTATCCCATTCATCGATTAAATGATAGATTGATTGGTGGGAAAATCCTTTTATTGTTTCCTCAATGGATATTTAGGGTATAATCATATTGCCATAGCGCTAGAAGACCAGGAGAATACCACATTCACATGCCCTTACAAAATCTACACCTTCAGAAGGATGTCGTTCGGACTTTGTAATACCCCAACAACATTTTAGAAGTGCATGTTAGCCGTTTTTTCAAATATGGTAGAGGACTTCTTGGAAATATTCATGGACGATTTTTTCATTTCGAGCAACAATTTGATAAATTCATTGGCAGCTTGGCTAAGATACTGAAGAGATGTGAGGAGGCCAATCTAGTGCTGAACTAGGAAAATACCACTTCATGGAAACGTAAGGAATCTTGCTAGGGTATAAGATTTCATAGAAGGGAATCGAGGTTGACAAAGCCAAGGTTGAAGTGATCGAGAAATTGCCTCCACCCACCATCGTGAATGGTATAAGGAGTTTTTTTGGGGCATGCAAGATTCTACAGGTGTTTCATCAAAGACTTCTCAAAAATTTTGAAGCATCTCTGTCTTTTTCTACTGTAAAATTAGCCATTTCTGTTCAATAAAGAGTGTTACAGGGCGTTTACGGAGCTAAAGGAAAAATTTGTCACAATACCAATAGTTGTCTCACTTGACTAGATAGCTCCCTTTGAATTGATGTGCGCTGCAGGTGACTACGTCGTGGGAGTAGTGCTCGGGCAAAGGTGAGGTAAAATATTCCATGTCACTTATTATGCTATATGCACACTTAATGAAGAACAAGTAAACTATACAAACAGTGATAAAGAATTATTTGTCATGGTATTTTCTTTTGATAAGTTTTGGGAATACTTGATAGGAACTAAGGTCATTGTGCACACCTATCACTCGGCTATTAAGTACTTAATAAAAAGAATGTCAAACCTAGACTTATTAGATGGATACTTTTGTTGCAAGAATTTGATTTATAGGTTAAAGATAGAAAAAGAAATGAGAATTAGGTTGCATATCATTTATCTAGGCTAGATAATATAAATGACTTCCATGACAAGGTAGAAATCAAGGAGGAATTCCTTGATGATAAAATTTTATCTACTACGGCATGTATGTGGTATGCTGACATAGTTAACTTTCTTGTTAGTGGTGTTTTGCCTCCTGATTTAAACAACCAATGTAGAAGGAAATTCAAACATGATGTACGATACTACCAATGGGATGAGCCCTATTTATTCAAGAAATGTACTGACCAAGTAATTAGAAGGTACATCCCTAAAGAAGAGCAACAAGATATTATATTACATAGCCACAGCGTATCATGTGGAGGCCACTTCGGAGGTGTTAGGACTACTACAAAGGTTCTATAATCTGGATTTTTATTACCCCATGCTTTTTAAGGATACACACAAGTTCTACAAGTCATGTGATCGATGTCAATGCATTTGGAATATTTTGAAGAGACATGAAATGTCATGGCAGAACATTCTGGAGATAAAGCTCTTCGACATTTGGGGAATCGATTTGATGGGAATTTTCTCATCATCCTTTGGTGATCTTTACATACTCTTAGCAGTGGACACTATGTCCAAGTGGGTAGAAGCCACAGCAACACCAAGAAATTACTCAAAGACCATGCTCAAGTTCCTTCACAAGAACATATTCACATGATTCAGAGTACTTAGAGTTATCATAAGTTATGAATGTATCCACTTCGATAATAAATTAATTTCTTAGGCATTATAAAGGTACGAGGTGTGGCATAAAATTGCTACAACATATCACCCCTAGACCAATGGACAAGCTAAAGTATCCAACCGAGAGATCAAACAAGTTCTCAAGAAGATTGTGAACTCGAAGAAAAAAGACTAGTCCCTGAAGCTCTATGAGGCACTCTGGGCTTATCACACAATCTTTAAAACTCTGCTATGTATGTCCCCATTCAAATTAGTCTATGGAAAGCCATTCCATCTTCTTGTAGAGCTAGAGCATAAGGCCTACTGGGCGATTAAGAAGCTCAACATGGAAGCTCGATTGGCTAGTGAGAAAAGGTTGCTAGAGTTAAAGGAAATGGAGGAATTTCAACCTCAGTCTTATGAAAATGGCCACCTATACAAGGACAAGACCAAATTATGGCACCACAAAAATATTCTAATGAGAAATTTCATGAAGGCCAACAAGTCCTCATTTATACTTCAAGGCTGAAGCTTTTTCCAAGCAAACTGAAGTCCTGATGGTCGAGACCTTTTCAAGTGCATCATGTGTACCCGCATGGAGCTGTGGACATCAAAAACCTCAACGATGCTTCAATATTTAAGGTGAATGGCCAATACCTCGAGGTGTATAATGGAGCCCCAATACTTTGAGGCAAGTCAACACTTTTGCTATATGATGTTTCAGAGTTTGCACCACCAACTCTTTAAATTATCGCTACAACATTAATTTTCATAGTTTGTATATAAATAATTGTTTTAATTTAACTGTTTCTTTTCTTTATTTTTCAGTTTAGTTTTAACTCTAGTTTGTTTTCTAGTTTATCCAAGGACATGTGGCAGCATAGGGAATGAGTTCAAAGGATAACAAAAAAGAGACACTAGCAATTTGTTTGGCTAATGCGGCACAAAGGGCGGAAGCAAATATATTTTTATTATTTAATTTATTTTTATTACTTTTTAACTTCTCAAACCCATCAATCACATTCTAGGTAATTATTATCTTTTTTCTCTTTCGTACATTTGCATTAACTCCCCCAAAACCACCCAATTTTTCTTTAAAACTACCCACTTCTCTTTTATTTGTTTTTTATTTTTAAGTTTTCTCATAAACTTCTACTTCTCCGCCCGATTTATTCCATAGCCACCATCTGAAGTTCTTTCGTTTTCTGCTTTGCACCATGAAACCCCCATTATCGGTGCAACAAAGTTTTATTTTCTATTTTCTTTTTGTCACAACTACGATGGCCCAATGTAAGAATGTTTCCAGTGAGGGTTCTTCCTCTCAATCATCGTTGCAAACCCACATTTAGAAATTTAAAGATGATGCAATGGAGGAGAGATTTCATCTTATAAAATGCAGGTCGATGTACTTGGAACAAGGTTTTATTCAGTCGGTGGAAGGTGAAAAGCCTTTTACGCTCATCTTACCAAACCTACGAACCATGGAATTTGGGTATGAAAAGAAGAGTTCGATTCAAGTTGAAATCCATAAACGATTTCTTCGGTCTAGAAAATGTGACTAATCATCATGCAAAATTTGTTGATACGATGGATGTTGAAACCTACGTGGGAGTCCTTGAGGATTTATACTTCAAAGGGTCAAGTGGCAAGGTGAGAACCCGAGCAAATGGAGACTAGAGAGATATTGTCTAAAGCCTCAAGCTAAGGTATGATACTTCATTAAAACACGATTATTGTCTACCTCGCACCATAAAAATGTATCGCTGCAATGGGTGCTTCTATTGTATTCCATCATTTTTAGATGCCCCATCAACATCGGTGGCATCATTGTTTAACAAGTTTATGATTGTCTCAAATAGAAAAAGGGGAATCTGATCTTTCCAAACTTGATCATCGCCATGTGCAAATAGAAGAAAGGGATTGATGAGATGTTTGAAGAAAATATCCAAATAAAGGCTAGAATAACTAAGAAGTTGATTCTAGAGCTTATGGGTTTTGATGAGAATGGTCCCAAAAAGATCCTCGAAAGAGGTGCTAAAATTATTTCCATGGCAAAAATGGCAGCAATAGTGACTTCCTCTTGAGAGACAAAGGAGCGAGTTGAGAAGCTCGAATGCAAGATGCATACATTCTTCAAGTACATGAGGCAACGAGATACAACCATATCCTTTTTCTTCAAGGAAATGTTGTCATTCACCACTGGTGAATTTCCCCCTTTCCCAGAGGAAATTTTGGAAGAAAAAAATGCCGCAACTATATTTTCTAATAGGGGTCCTCACTATAGCCAATCAACCTAAATTGAGGGAGACACCACCCGCTGAAGCCGAGTAATTTGATGAGGATAACCACTCCAATACTACTGAGCCCTATGACATTGAGTTGCTTGACACCCACCCCTCCTCAAATGTTGAGGATGAGGAGATTCTTTCGCAAGGGCAAAAAAATCCCGCCTATCTTGATAATGCTGAGAAGACCAATAACGAAGAAGTGTCTAACTTTACTGCTGACACTGAGGAAATCCTGCCCTCGCCTATGCAACCATAGCTTGTAAAATCGTGCGTGAGAAGACATCGCTTGAAGAGGTCAGTCGGGCGAGCAGCTAACACTTCTGTTGCAATATTTGAGACCACAACACCAAACAATCCCACCATGTAGACCAAGCCAGAAGACTCCACCCCTAAGCACAGATACACTAAGTGTACTAGGGACAAGATACCACCGCAATGAGGTACCTCTCATAGTTTTTTTCATTCATGTAGTGAAACTTAGTTAATTTAGTATTCATGCATTGAGGACAACGCAACCTTCAAGTTTAGGGGAGGTATTATCCATAGTTAAGCATTTATATTAATAGTATTAGTAGAATTATGTTATGGCATTTAGTTAGGTTAAGTTAGTTTTTGTTGAAATAAGTTAGGGATGCTCAATGATGAGAAATTTTTACCATGGTTGTGAATTAAATGTACTTGACTATTAGGATTAATTGGA